AAAAAAAAAAACTATGTGGTTTATTGGTGTTGAAGTAGAGCAAGAGACGAGTGCACCCCCTCCTAAAAAAAATCCTGGTTCCGCCCCTGGGGAGGGTAGTTGTTCACTGTCTTCTCAATATTTTGTATTATGTCATTTGGTGGTAGGAGCAGTCTGCAACACCAAGAAAATACAAGTTTCGGGCTAAAGCCTAAGCCCATCTCTTATTCACTTGAGTCATATTTTATTCCATCAACAGAGCCTAACGACTTCATCCTGGATCTCCCAGTCACTCTGTTATTCGAGATTAACTTTCTTGGCTTCTGTCCAAGGATGTTCTTCTTCTCCAGCCTCTTAGGCATGCTACAGCAACAGTGTGTGGGAAGTACTTTTGAAAAGTTATTAGTGTAAATGAATCTTATTCTCAGTCTTTCCACTTCCAGAACATCCTCTACATAGTTTGGCCTTTTGAAAACTAAATTCTAGTCTCAAAAGGTCTCAGATTTTTAATATTGTAGCTTTTGACCTTATTGCCCAGTCTTCATCAGCAATGAATTCTCAGTGTTCTCACATAAATCATAGAATATAATACATTTTTCAAATTTCAACTCCAATGTCAAGGATGAGCATTCATAGAATAATGACTTTAGCCTGTTTCTCTAAAGTCAATCATTTAAAATGGTTCTTAGCCAGTGTTCTCCCTAAATTTTAGCTCAGCAGGTAAGGGACCATTTATGGACGGTAAGGCAAAATATATACTTTTCTAAGAGGGGGGAGGGGGAGACAGTGGAGTGAGGGACATGGACCCGCCCTCACTGGGAAATTTTTCATTCCCATATTTTAAGACCTATTTTACGCAAATCTGCTGTCGTTATCTTTAGACAACAAGTTAAAACGTTTGATTCCGATAATTTTACTATGTCTTTAATGTTCTCTTTCCAAAATGCATGTCCCTAAAAAGGAAAGCTGTATATACAGTACGAAAACAAAATTATGCACGGGCAAAAAGTGGCGTAAGAAGTTGCTGCGCCGCAAGAACATGCAAGCCACCGCAAGAAGTGAAAGTGCCGTGTTTTTTGCGGACCCTTTGTAGTTTACCCGCAAGAACTTTGAAACGAAAGAAGTCAAAAATCTTCAACACAAGAACTTTGAAACGAAATAAATCAAAAATCTTCACAGCAAGAACCTAGAAAATTATCGCAAGCCTCAAGAAGGCGCATGAAGTTCTTTATAAGTGTTAACCTGAAAGAAGTTTATGGTGTTTGTCGCCTTTTTGTTGTTTTGTAGCGTTGATACTAATTCACTCTGTGGCAGTAAAAGGTAATCATGCAAGGACATACGTAAAAAGTTGCCTGAGAAAGCGAACAGCTTTCTCTGCTTTTTCTGAAAAGTGAACACTTCAATCGTTCAGCTTTTCCAAAAGTTAGATAAAGCGTGTGAGGCGTTTGTTTAACAAAACGATCTGTAGTTTCGAACATCTCGATCATTTGGATCATTTCATAGTACAATACCATAGTCTTGGCAAAACAAACCAAAGGCGTTGAATTTCTGCCACAAGAAAACATGGGAATTATTTATTACTTTATTGCACTAATTTGAAAGAGCCTTTAGTGAAAATATTCCTTACTTTACTTCAGCATTTTTTGTTTCCAAGAACGCTTTAAGTTGACACAGTTGCACGTGCGGTCTCAAATTACACGGCTCTTTTGCGAAACATACTACGATCGTTCCCTATTTTTTGAAGCCCTGCTTTTTTTATCAAAATTGTACACATTTCCTCGCTTAAAAGGTTAGCTTTGCACAAGATGATTTTGTATATACCGTTTCTAAATCACCGATCATGAAACATGAATGTAGTTTTAGTTTATCTATACATTCCTGTCATTGTAGATCAGCAGGAACGAAACAGTTTTAGAGTTTTTTGAAAGTTCAAAAATATGTGCCTAAAGTATAGATTAGTGATCCGCTGACAGATACAAAAAGCGGCACAGCTATTTTGTTGTCATAATAAATTTTGACTTGTCTGCCGCAATCTTACCGCACTGAAAGAAGTTGTTGCGCTGCGGTTCGAAAATCCCACAGCAAAGAAATTCTTCTAGTTAAATTTATAANAAGCAGCGCGAAAACACTTTTTAACTGACGTTTTCGTAGCTTGCCGAGGACCAGGCTCTGCATTGGGGGAAAAAGGAGGAAAAAATCAGGGAGGGCGAAAAAATAATCTACGAGCGAAGCAAGCCGCGAGAAGTATCTAGGCTCGCTTCGCTCGCTGATATCTTTGCTATTTTACCCCGTTTTTTGCATTTTTCCCCCCCTGCATAGCCTGGTCCCAGGCTATTTCGTAGCCGCGTTGTTGCTTTAAGGGAGAGAGGGCGTGGCCATAAGCGACCTGGAGCGTCTGAGAATCAGGCTATGAAATCCTACGGCAACCTAAAAATAAAACGTCGTGACCTCGCTACGAACTGATATTTCTATAGTGGTGCGTTAAGGCGAGACTGTCACTCGATCAAACTTTGAAATCTGGACAAAATCCTGTGATGCCATTCAAACGAAACCTATTCGGCGAACTTTAGCATAGCAGTAGTCATTTTAAAGGAATTTGTAAGATTTACATTCGTTTTGTTGTACAGTTTTTCTCTCTGAACTCTGTAAATAATTAGTAGTTAAAGGGAAGAGTTTCTGTTAACATCCAATCAAGCAACAGCGTGCGTTTGACGTTTTGTTTCCTTGGTAACACCGATTATTACGTTAAGGGCGCGTGAACAAATTTTATTTTTCCACAAAATCTCCAACGGACGCGAGACGCTTCAAATGATAATGTTTTACGACAATGGAGATGCTACATAAGCGTTTACAGCTGCGTATATGCGACAGTACTCTCTGGTCAAGCAAATCCAGGGCAAATCTATCGCAATTCAAGTGAGTAATTCCAAGAGAAAGGTAGGGCCTAATGCCTATTCCATTCCAAAACAGCAGTTTTTTTGCTATTAAAAACTTTAGCTTCTTCTAAGAGCAGCTTTCCAGTCTCGCTAGCAACAATAATTTCGTTCGGACCGTTTTAATATTTTTTGCTGGTTCTACAGTCAGTCCAAATATGAAGACATCTCATTGATATCAAGTATTTTCAAGAAATTTCTTCTCCAATCCCTTTATTACGGACTCTCTGACTTTTAAAGACACAAGCTCGCGGTCATGAAGGTACAGTGTCCGCAATAACAAGAATTGACTGTACTTTCCACTAAGAGAGATCTTTAGATTTTAGGAAGAGAACGAGTAGAGATTTAACTCAAAGTTTTTGCGCGTGTTCTCAAAAAAAAGACAACCCGGTAAGCTTCATTTTACCTTTTTTCACCAAAAAAGTTAGTACGGTTATTTATACTGAAGGAGGTTAGGCCCTCTCCCGATAGCAGAATGATAAAACTTCTTACATTTGTTAACTTGTTCCCGCCACTACGACATTCACGCTAAAATTCTTAGTAGAATGACAACGGGTATCACGTTTTCCCGCCAAAAGGGCGCTGGTTGACGCGTGAGCAATACTCAGTATTGAGAAAATCTCCCACTCGACTACTCGTAGTCGTTCTCGTCTCAAAATCTAAAGCTTTCTATTAACACATCAAAAGAATACAAACAAAAGAGCAACAGTTTAGAACGCTGATTTAATAAGGATGGAAATTTACAAATACAGAGATGAAGAGGAGAAGGTAACTTAAACCACTGAATTATCATGTAAATGTTATCTCTACGAGAAACAAAAATTTTCAGAGAAAAGCTACTGAAATTTCTAACTATGAATAGTATGAAAATTCTTTAAAGCTAAAAAGCAAATTCCAACATAGGGGTTCTACAAGCGACATCACAATCCGTAGAATATTATTGCTTGCTCTAAAAATTACAGAAAAGAAGAAACCTAAAATCTGTCGGTCTTTGACATGTAGAAAAAGCTAGCCTTCTCGACCTTAGACTATTTAAAGTCAAAAGCACTGAGTAAATGTACTAACTCTACGCTTCGCCGTTTCTAATCTTCACCATCGCCTATCTCATCTATGACTTCAAAACCCTCTATTAAGTTCACGTCGTCGGTACTGTCAGCGCCTTCTTTCGCCTTCGTCTTTTTAGCTTTAGAAGCCCTTCCTCCAACCGAAGCTTTTGCACCTCTCCTTGCCCCTCGACCACGCCCTTTTCCGCGAGTTGCACCTCCTCTAGCCCCTCCCCTTGCCGCACCCTTTTTGCCACGCCTAGCTGGGGGAGTGACCTCTTTAATGGGTATGTCTTCTATGTCATCTGGTGAACTGCTCTCAGAGTCATTATCTCGCTCTTTCCACTGATTGGAGGCGCGTCTTGGCGTTGTCGACATGGGCTCTTTGGCCGCCTCAGGCTCGGAGTTCACTGCTGTATCGGTAGACAACGGAATATAATCCTCGGTCTCCTGTCACATTGGAGAAAGGAAAATTAATAATGATCTATCTTGTGGCAAAATTTTGGAGTGGCAAACAAGGTAGCCTGCGAACAGCAGACGCATTTCCGGTCGTCGCTTCTCTTTCTCCGAAAATAGCTCAAATCCTGGTACACAGTTGGCGGAGGGAGAGAAGCGACGACCGGAAATGCGTCTGCTGTTCGCAGGCTACAAACGAGGTGTATTATGGGAGATATGCAAATTACTAATTTTAAGGGCGAACGCCTGATTTTCAAAGGCAACTATTTCTCAAAGCGACTTTCGAGCAAACAAAATTGGCTGTACAAAGACAAAGAAAAACCCAGTCTGTGTTGAACTCACAAAAGACAGAAAAAAATAATAACTGTAGGGCCACGCAAAAACATGTGAATCTTGCAGCACTTCGCGTTCCATAAGAAATTGCAGGAAGAACTTACTTCAAGTTGTGGAGCAGTTTCTATTTGACTCTCCTGGGATTCCTCAACACTAGTAATCTCTGCAGGATCATACAAAGCTTCTCCTTCATCTGTTCCTGTCGCAGTTGTCTCTCGTTGTTCCTCAATACTTTCGTCTGTCATGAAAGAGTCTTCATTCACATGGTCCATACCTTCCATGTCCACATCCAAGTCAGCTGCTTCCTCACCTCGAAGTTGCTCTTCTTGGTCAGAAGACTGTGGAGCGACTACAAATCTAGTTATCTGTACCTGTAAGAAAATGGTAAGATTTGACTCTTGTGCACTGTGGGAAACTGGGACTCAGTATGACGTCAGTATCACGTGTTTTCGTTTTGGAAAAATTCCATCCCCCCTTCCCCGACACGAACTTTGCTTTGGCTAATTACTTTCCACTAAAGGTAAAATCCTCTTAAAATACTGCAACATATCAGAAACTCCAGGGAGGGGTTCCATCCCCCACCTTTGTATCATGGTGGGGGTATGAATTTGCGTGCACGTCCAAGGGTAGCTGTTCCAGGCTCCGAGATAGTGGTGAAAAGTCGTTCAGTAAAAAGAAATGCGAAATACGCGTGGGGGCTGGGGAGAGACCCCTTTCCCAAGTCGCACGCGTCTTATTTTCGCTTTGCTCGTTTTAATACGTCCGCACTATACTATCTGAGAGCCTGGCACAGGCTAGTCCAAAGGTTAACAACGTAGAGGGGGCGTTTATTAGACAAGAGGCGCTTACTTGGAAGTAGGCGCTTATCAGGTCATTTACGGTAACTGGGCTTACCTCATCACACTGTTCAGAGTGTGAGTCTTTACGATGGCTTCGTGTCTTGGTAGAAGGCGGCTTAATGTCCTTATCAAGTACTTCATATAAGACAACTTCTTCTCCTTCTTTTGGTTCAAGCACTGCCTCCAGTTCTTTATTACGTGTCATCTGATGATTTTCATATTGTGGGTGATCTTGGATGTAGGTCTAGAATGATAATATGGGTAATGCTTTCAATCAAACATACAGTAAAGACAGTCACAAGAGTCTGATAAAGCAGTAACTAGAGTTCTCCAATCCCTTCCTTCAAACTAAGTGGTCTGATTTGAAAAAAAAAACATTTTTTTAGCTTTTTTAATTTTAATATCGAGATAGCTACGTGAACAAATCAAAATAAGCTTTCCAAAGAAAATAAATAAAAATACAGATAAAGGGAAAATAATTAATGTCAAGATGAAATGATATTACTGAGAGAAAGGATGACATGAACCCATGAAACCAAACACCCACACTCTAGTCAGTCTCCCAATGATCGTTCAAAATTCTGCACAAAGCACACAGTTTCAATAATTATTATTGTCACGATTATTATTACCTTATAATTAATCTGATGCTTTTTTCCTTTGATGTGATTGATCACATCATTTCCACAGCGAATGAAAGTCTTGCAAAGGCGGCAATTAAATCCTGACACAGCTTTCACAAACTCACAACCTGAAACCAAACTTTCATTTAATACATGAAGACATGGCTATTAAAAAGTTACAAGCACATGCAAATAAAATAACCATGCAAATTCTAGCTGAGAAGGAGATCTAAGCCTAGCCTGTGCCACAGATGAAAATTAACCTCTGGTTAAGTCCGTCTGCTAGCCACCATTGAAATCCTTGTTCCGGGCGGCCAATGACTGCCAACTATGACTGGCTTGTTAAAAAGCCATTATTGATTTGCCAACCAGGTTTAAGGGAAATTTAAAACACGCTGCTGATAATTTGTCGAGCCATTGACTAAGGGCCAAAAACAAGGATTATCATAAAATTACACTGCGTCGGTATGGAGAAAATTTTTTATGAAGCCTGCATCTGCATGTAGTAATACACGTATTGGGAGCCACTGCACGATTAATAACAATTATCAATAACATTAAGATTAATAATATCATACTAGAATTAGTTGACGTTTCTGGGTAACCGACCACCTACCCTTCCCTCAAGTCACAATTTTGCCTCAAGTGAGAAGTACGTGTTAATGTCAACTCAGGGAAGGGGTAGGTGGTCAGATATCCAAAAACCTCAACTGATCCGAATTCTATTTATTGCAATATGAAGAACTGTCTCAGTTTTTTATTTTTTTTTTTTTATGATTGCAATGTCTCTAGAAAGTTCAAAAAATATCAGTTGATAGTCAGTGTATTGTTGTGAAGGACGTAAGTTAGATAACTCATTGGGTTATTACGTCACCTTCGTTAAATAAAGAATATTGTATTGTATTGTATTGTATTGTATTGTAGTGTTGTCTGCTCACTGTACCTGACATGTTTCTTCCACTCGTAAAGCCATCAATCCTAACTCTTGACTGAGTTACAGATGATATAGTGATGATGTTTCCTTCTTTCATTGCCGTCTTTCTTGTATCACAAGTGTACTTGACAAAGTCAAGGTTAACTTCATCCGCAGATGGACTTGATAACACTGCAGTTTCAACTTTGTCTTCTTCCTCATCTTTTGGTACTGCTGTGACTTGCTCCGTCTCTGACTTCTTCACAGATGTAGTTTCCTTGTACAAATACATGTAGGAGATAAAGATCTCTCATAAAGGCTTATCAGGAACACTAGCCTAATCTAGCTAAAAATAATGTGTGCTTCACTGTGATATTTCTGACCATATTGATTTAGCCTGTTCACAGACCCTCTATTTTCTATTCAAAGTCTGTTGAGCGCACATGATAAATAATAAACCGCAGGGGATTTATTGACCGCCAGCACAAGGGGGCAGAGGTGGGGGGAGAAGAATTTATTAGTCTTTCTCACGCTCCACATTCGCTCTTGCATGCTTCACTCGCATGCTCGCCTTGCTCATGCACTTGCAGAAGTTTTGCAAAAGAACAAAAAGGAAAATAAAACAACGTCTGCATACAGGCTAATATTGATTTGGAATTCATGAGTAAAGAAGAGAAGGAGACTCTGCTTGCAGAGCCCAAAGAAACACTCTCAATGACCACCATATTTGAACTTCATTACCTGGCAGAAATTTTTGAATTCTTCTGCATCAAGTTCTTTTCCTTGCTTTTCCAATACAGTCCGAGCATGTCTCTTTCCCAAGAGATGTTTATGAAAACTCTGAACAGAACAAAGAAAAATTTTAAGTGCATCAACTGACATTAATACTATTTACATTTCAACTCATTAATAATTCATGAAGAGCAAACAGTGGAACTCTCTAGCATGATGGTGGTGGTTTGAAAATCCAGTCCATTTTCTAAAAAAAACTCTGTGCGCAGTGTTTGACATAATTACTAAAATAAGAAAATTACAGTAGTAGAGGATGGACATCTGCCACGAAAAATGTGATCAGTTATGTAGGAGATATCTTGATCAAAGAAACACAACCCTTGGAAACAAGGTGTCAGTCGTGTGCACTGTATTACCGAGGTGTAAACTCAAAAGCCTGCAGTATGGTCCATGGATTGTTTGGTTCCAGCTGCCATTTGCTTCCATAAACTCTGCTTTTTATAACCCAGACAACTGTTACTATACAATTAAAAAATTTCAAGGCATTTTTTCTGAATTGCCACAATGGATTTCAGTATCTAAGTAAGCAATTCTACTGTAAATGTTAGTCCATTTGAACATACTGTACATACATACCATTGGTATGTTACAGATGATCTTGCACTGCTGGCAAATGTACTTCGACCTTTTCTTGTCAAACAGAGAGATCATCAAAGCATCAACATCTTCTCCAACAAAGTTAACTGCCTTAGGAAGAGGACGGTCATTGAACTCTGGAGGTTCACTGACTTCATTGTCTTGAACTTGCTCATCTTCTTTAGTTGTGTTCAAGTCTTCTACTTCCTCCTCACCTGACAAAAAAAAATCCAACAGCAAAAACACCATGATAATTAACACACAATGAAAACAGAGTAACAAAAGTCAAAAGACAAACAAAAGTGAGGAATCTGCTAGTTTCAGTTCTAGAAAATTAGTATTAACTGTGCACTATGCCATTCGTTTCTTTCGCTTTTTTTTTTCACGTTTATTCTTGCATTATTTTTTCTCACCTTTTCTTTCTCGTTTTTGCACTTACACGTTCAGCTTTTTCTATTATTTTTTATCCTATTTAATGATTATTTTCTATGTTCCAAACAAATTATGTGTACTTAGAGTTAAATTGCCAATGTCAGTTTTGTAATATTTATTATTAATTTGATAACATAATTATTATTAATTAGATAACATAATTTTAAAGGTGGTCCTATACACAAGCCTTATTGGCTTCCAAGGGCTCCCTTGCCTCATCTTTCTTTAAAAATTTTATATGTATATTTTGTATGTATGGCAAAATGATAATAAAACAAAATGAAACAAAATATTGACTATCGGACTGACTGAAAGGCTTACTACCTTGTGTAGTTTCATCTTCCTCCTCATGCAGTTCCTCTTCAGTAACTGCTTCCTCTTTCTTTGTTTCCTGTTTATCAGGTGTTGCAGCCTTCTTAGCCTGTTGACTCTGTTGATTTGGTCTGTTTCTATTCTGTTGTCTGTAGCCTCCTTGCTGTCGACGGTTGTGGTCAAAGCGTTCCCTTTTGTTTCCCTGGTTGCCGCCACCCCAGCTGTCATTCCGCCCTCGCTTGCGATTCTGCCGCTGCAAATCTCTTGACTGGTTCCTTGGTATCAAAGGCGTGGGAAGAAGTCCCATAGAAGATTGCATGCCCTGTTTAGCTCGCGCTTGGACCTGGGCTTGTGCGTTAGCATTGGCTTGGGCTTGCATGGCTGCCAGCAGTGACTGAGTCTGAACCATAGCCATAAGCTGCTGCTGTTGTTGGGCTAGCTGGGCTGTTAGACCAGATCCTAGGCCACCGCCTGCCATTCCTAACCCTGCGTAATTCAGGTGAAACTAAACAGGTCAGACTTTTTGAAAACTAAAACGAGGTTGAGAATGTTTGAAGACCCTTGAATCACAAAACTTAATGTCCTTTTTTCATATTTGCTTATTTAAATCACGAAAATAAAACTCTGTGAAATACTGTTTTAACAAAATTACGAAATTAAGTACCCACAAGATTAAGTAGCAACAAGGTAGGTGAGACTACTGAGATTACCGCCATACACTCACTGAAACAATGCTATTTTGTGGTATAACACTTCACATGCACTCAAGCTAGATGTTTTAATTCATCTGCAAAATGATTATCTTTGGTATCATCTTTGTCCAGACATCACATCCATTAAGATTTCATTTGACATAGGCCAATATTTATTTCATTTGCGCACTATTAAATCACTGGCTGTCATTTTCAGTCAGGTTTAAAAGGCAGCATAAAACTAGAGTCTACATAATGTGGCAGAACGGACAGAATTAAACGATTTTAAGAGTCACGACATGAAAACAATAATTTGAACTCAACACCTGGATTTTTAATAATGTACACTGTTAAATTAACAGTGAAAAAAGGGACAGAGAGTATCATGATATATAGGGCATTTTCTGAAAATGCTGCTACTCCAGACATTAATAGTTGAATAATTTACTAGTGTTGGTTCTTCCCTCAAATATTGCATTAACAATGCCAATAAGTTAAACAAAGTTTGGCCTAAACAAGGTTAAATCTAGCCAAATTTTTGAATGTTGCAATACTTTTTACTGTCCTTGTAATTTGTTAATAATTACATGAGCTAATACCATGTCCCTGTTTAGCATCATCTTTAAGCCTGGTTTTTACATGTCAGGAAAAACTCAGACGGTCAGGGAACACACTGTTCTTAATGATCGGTCAGGAAAATCTCAGAGACTGTCCCAGATGCCACGTTGATTAACAGTACCGCTCAAAAGTAATTCAGTTGCATCTCATTTCCTGAGTGACAAGAATCCCATCGCGCACAATGCAATTCTCGTCGTGCACTACAAGAATCACGTAGCACAAGAATTATTGAAGCAGCGATTTTTGGCATAAACTATTGACGACACGTACAGCGAGAAAACAACTAAAAATTTTGTGTAGTGTTACCTCAAAGACTGAGGAAAACAAGCATTAGATTTTGCATTAAGTTTCTTTCAACAAGCTTGCTTTTAGCTTGTCATTAGCACACTGTCCAATTGGCTTGCTTTTAGCTTGTCATTAGCACACAGTTCAATTGGAGGTTCTGTAATTTTATGAGGGGAAGGACTACACCTAAACAGTTAAAGTACTGGGACCAAGTAAAAACAATAATTGCCTGACAGACACTGACATCCTAACAGAACAAACTTGACTTCTCACATGCCAGGTAGGCACACAGCCCTTCACACAAACCTGAGATGTGTTTGTCCTGACTTGTCCTCAACCATCCCAGACGATGGGGGATATCTACCATCCCTACTTTTCATAAGTCTACAAAGTTTTCAGGAATCAGTAAACTCTCTGAAAGTCTGAGACTTCCAAGACATATAAAAACCAGGCTTACTCTTCACACCTAATAGTGGCCAAAGAAAGTCAAAGAAAGATTCAAATTTCTTTAAGTAAAATTTTAAGAAATTACTACACAGATCTATGCTTATGTTCTGTCCTTTCGAAGAGGTTTCATTTGAATGGTAACACCATAAGATTTCTATGATTAGTCGTTCTGTCCTTTCGAAGAAGTTTCATTTGGATGGTAACACTATAGGATTTTGTGCAAAATTAGTGTGACAAATAATCTTGCCATAACTTTGTATAGGAATGGAAGGGGGAAAGTTAGAACATATCACAGCCATTAAAACTTTCAAAATCCTTTTATGTCACTGATGAATTTTGCAGCAAGTTGTTGTCAGATGAAACATGAAGGACATAGCCACCTGGTCCTGTGCATTCCAGTATGTTTAACAGAGCATGACTCTAAGCAGATATACCACATTCTTGATTGACAAATTACCTGGAAACCATTTACGCTGCTAGAACAACTGAACCCCTACACAAATGCTACTGTTGGGGTAACACTGATGGCCATTATGTATGGGGCGTAAATTATGTGACCCCCATTAAAAGAAAAAAAGGATTAAAATTCCCAAGATTTGAGTGGCAATTGTGCTACTACCACTACCCAGTTTGGTCATGGCAGTTTCTTGATTGTAGTCACGTGATTAATGGTGTTGGTGGACTGTGACAAAAGAAAGTATCTCAAGGTACAGTCAACTCCCTTTATGGCGGACACTGTGGGGACCTCGAGTTAGTGTCCTCATTAGCGAGTGTCCGTAATAGTGGGAGTTGATTTCAGTCAAACATCTGTAATTTGTTTTTGCTGGGGATTTAGCTGCTGTCCGTATTATCGGGGTGTCCGTTATAGCAGGGTGTCCGCAAGGCGAGAGTTGACTGTATTGTAATCATAGACTTGCTACAAGTCAACCTCTCGTAAGTTCTTAAAAGTGAACGAAGCAAGCTTCATTGTATGAGGTCACTCAGTGACCGAGCAAGCGATGAAGTCTCGGGGTCGACTTGTTTCACCTGAATGGATTTGATTTGATTTGACATATGCTGTATCTATAGCAGCATGAAATATCAGTCAATGTTCAATTGGTCAATTGTCATGATGTCACTGGTAGAATTTGAGACCGGTAAATTTCGCACAAAACAGGTATGAAAGGTCCTTTAACATGACAGAACCAACCAGGAAAAAAATAAAGGACTTTTCGAAAGACTATGTAACCACTGTGTAAAGATTACCACAACTACTAGCTAATGAAATTCTAGCTGTTGCCATTAAGTAGCACAGGCCATAAACTGCTGGTGGCCGTGACAACACATTATGGCTGTTGTACAGAGGTGACCATCACCAAAGAGTGGACTGAATTGCAACTCAATGTCAGATTTGCAAATCAGATATTCTGAAGCACTGAAACATTTTAGATCACTTGTGTATGTGTGAACAGTAACCAGAATAAATTTAATAGCATGGAGACCAATCTGAAGTTGTTTCAGTTTTTGATAAGCAGGGCTTTAGGCTTTTTCAATTTACTACTTAAGTGGTTGTAACAGTTACAGTATTAAGCATCACAGAGCCAGCCCTCTTAAAATGCTTTGTACTGTCTTGTGGAATAGCACAACTAGTACGCAGAAAGGGTCAGAAATGTACTTTCTGTAAGTCACAATCACTGATTTCTATAGCAAATCGACTGGGAGTGTCAATAGTGCTTTTTTAGAGGAATGCTGAAGTCTAACCAGACAACAATCTTCTGACAAAACCATTCAAGTTTCTCAGCAACATTGTGTAAGAATCCAAATAATATTGTGTAGGACCTAACACAAGAAGATGATAAATGCCATATTTTGGAATTGTTATCTATATGATACAGTTCACTACCATACAGGATTCCGCAGGAATAATACCGTGGAATGAAGCAGTTGTATAATATAATAATTCGGTGTTTTGTATGCATGACTGCATTCAAATTCAGGTATAAAAAAAGGCAAGAATGCAAGCCCACATGTACACTAAGCTGTACAAGGGAACAGACAAGAATTGAAAACTCCATTTCCTAACCATTTCATTCTGCTAGTTTCCAAATAATATTTTTGTTCTCCATGACTAACTACACTCAAGTAGCACTATAACCATCCAAAGGAATGTACAACATGGCTAAACAGCACTTCTTTGAACAATTTATAAAAGAAAGCTGATGTCTGGGTGCTTTAAATACCATCTACCAAGAACTGCTTTCTTCAAAATCATAAGAGCTAAGTTTTTCAGGTGTTGAGNATGAAGCAGTTGTATAATATAATAATTCGGTGTTTTGTATGCATGACTGCATTCAAATTCAGGTATAAAAAAAGGCAAGAATGCAAGCCCACATGTACACTAAGCTGTACAAGGGAACAGACAAGAATTGAAAACTCCATTTCCTAACCATTTCATTCTGCTAGTTTCCAAATAATATTTTTGTTCTCCATGACTAACTACACTCAAGTAGCACTATAACCATCCAAAGGAATGTACAACATGGCTAAACAGCACTTCTTTGAACAATTTATAAAAGAAAGCTGATGTCTGGGTGCTTTAAATACCATCTACCAAGAACTGCTTTCTTCAAAATCATAAGAGCTAAGTTTTTCAGGTGTTGAGTTCAAACTCATACATAAACAGAGTGGTAAATTATAGTGTAGGATATTGCAAACATCAGTTAAACTAACTCCATCATCTTGTAACAGCTAATGAGCTTTAACATATTAAACCAACAGAAATATCAAACACACAGATTGTACAAGATAAAGATATTGAGATGTTAAAGTTCACAACATAAAACAATGACAACACACACAAAAGGATGTATATGTATGAGTTGTGTTAACAATGCATTGCCGGACCAGACACCAGAAGAAGTTCTGAAACCTGTTGTGAGAGTTTTGTCGCTAGGATACTTATCTGTTCATAAAAGACAAGAAGCTGTGCACTTTAGTTACTCTATCTTGAACAGAAGTAGCCACAGAATATCACAAACAGATACCGCAGAATGTTAAGAGGAAACTTCATATTCAGCGGACAAAAAACACAGGGAGACCAAAGGATAAGTTGAGTTGTTGCAAGTTTCACACCAAACATTTCTAGAATTACCAACAAACCAGAGCAAATCTGGTGAACAAGGGCATGTGGACAAAGTTCCACTACTAAGTTGACAACAAAGGAGAACACATTGTAAAAACTGATCAAAAGTAAAATTTCACCAGACCTGGAACTTGCATGGGATTTGCTGGAAGTTCTGGGACTGAACGATCACCAGGCTTAGCACCCAGAATTCCAGGTCCCTGGTTTGATGGGCCTCCTCTGTTACCCTGCGACCGATTATTGCTGTTGTTGCGATAGCGGTCTCTGTTCTGATTGCGATTTCTATCATTCCTACCAACGTTGCGGTCAGACCTGGAACCTCCCAGGTGTCCTAAAGGGTAACTGACAAGATCCGAGTGACTTCCTTGCCTGAGGTCATCATATGATGATGAGAATGAAGGCTGTGTGTAAAGTGATAAAATAGAGGCAAGAATGTTGTTAGTATCAAAATACAATAATATTGTCAATCGGCCATTTCTTTTCTGAAGAAATATAATGTTCATGTGCAATGATGCCAAACTCCAAAAACCAATGATGTTCTTACATCAGGTGGAAAACTTACAGAGTTTCAATACTTACAGTCCACCATTGAAGATGACATGATGGCCACTGCTTAAGTATGAAGAACAGGAACTTACAAAGATCAGGCAGGTTTGAGAAGGGTATAGATGCATGCATCACTATACATATGTCTGAAACTTTTCAGTTCCAAGAATCTCAAGAAATATCATACAATAGTACAAACAGGTATGAGAATTCTGTTGTAGTACTGCTTAAACTAAGATGGTGCAAAAATGCTGACTGCACCCTTTAAACATTGTACAGTTGTTACAGGTGTTAAGTGAAAAGTAGGAACGTTCGACCTTTCACTTTGCCATACAGTGATGTGTTTTTCCACAAAAGAGGTGATAATTAAAATCAAACCCAAATCTTTGTGTACTCTCCAAAAATCCTTCCATCAAGAGCACAAGACTGACAGAAACACAACTGTTGTATGCAAGGACTTTCACGCTCTTTTCCAAACATCTGGACACTTTTCAGACATAGGTAGACAATATTTTTTGTTAGCTGAAGCATACACCAAATAAAATTAACAAAACATAGATGGAACCTGTTTGGTTTAGATGGAAATTTTCCACAAAAATTTACTGGTCCCCCTCCAAAAGTAAAATCTTTGACCATCCAGTAAGCCTGGTCTGACCAAACCTTTCCTTTCCATTCTCAGAAATCCTCATTTTCATTTTCACCTAGAGTAACCAAAAATTGGGTCTAAAAAATAATAGGCCCTCGACATATTCACTTGCTCCCCACTTAAAATCGACTTAACCATTTTGGGGAGAGGGGAGAGCAAGATGAATCCAGGGCATGACAAAAGTGCTGTCTGACAGCCCAGGATGAGTGCAGCCAGCCATTGGGTTAGCTTGCTTTCATAACGAGTTGCCCGATGGACAGGCAACATTTGCCAAGAAAGAGTAAATGTTAGTGTAATAGGGGACTGGTAGGCCAGCTGTAGGACTGCTTTGGACTTGTAAATGCCTGAGGGGTGAGTGATTAATTTATTTTTAATCTCACCCTGTTTCTGGATGTAAATGTTGAGTATTTTTAACCAAAAGCAAACTGATCCATTTTAATTCACATGAAAATAAGAGATTAGTGTACAATGTGATCTTTTAAACTTTGTCCTTCATCACGGACAAAGTTTACCAAAAGTTCTTAGTTTGCTGATGTTTGTAAATACATTTGCAAACAAGAGTAAAGAAGGCAGGCAGACATAGAATGCCACTGGCCAGTAGTTCATGTTGTCTAAAACCATGGTGGCCTCTGGTTTTCTCCCTTGAATAATGTGACAGTAGCCTGAAGCAAAATACATCAATGAGGAAATATGGATATGCAGATGTTGAGATGGAAAAGGTAGGAGAAGGCATCATTTAATTCATAAAAGCTTTTCTCAACATTAATTTTTGTAAGTAGCAAATCGGGCTGATAGGATACTGTTGATATCTTCATGTAATGCATGTCAGTAACAAACATGTTGTACTAAACTGTAGCCAAGAGTAATGCCTTACCTTTGGGATCAATAACGAGTAAAAAGGTGGGAGGGTGGGGGCTGACCTAAGTATCCAGTTAAATTAAGCTGGGGACAAGTGAATATGTCGAAAAAAACCCAAATGGAATACTTCAAGCCAGTCGTCCTCCTTCATCAAACAATATTGTTGTGGTGTTTTTTTGGTTAGCTCAGTGACCAGTCAGTCTGGTATAGTGAAAAGCACCTCAGCATATCAGGATAGTAATGAGGATTTGAAACAGCTGCTGACACAGGCTCCCAGCCTTTTGGTTTATGGTCACACACACTGAAATACAACAAGGGTCTGAGGCTCTGAGCATTTTCTCAGTCAGCCAAATTACATGTAATGACAAAAACAAACTGCAATGTCCCTTCCCAAGAAAGTAATTCGCGCACTTTCAGTTTCCACTCTTAGATCAACGCTTCTTTCACAGCAACTGTCCACTCGTCTGACTAATGTACAATTTGAATGTTGTTTTCAATTCTATGGATCAAAGAGCTGCGGACAACTACAGACTACTTGAGAAATAAAAGCTTGACAAGGACACATATAAACATACAAAGAAAAGAATTGTCTTTAAACAGGTAGAATAGGCCTTTCATTTAAATAGTAAAGCTTACTTCAGGAGAAAACCTGTCGCGGGAATTTCTTCCTCTCAATCCCCCGCTATCACGCCTGTAGTCATCGTCTCTGCGGTCTCTCTCGCGTTCTCTGAAGCGTCTGTCATCGTAGTCGAGCCTGTCTCTTCTTTGATTAGAGCCTAGAAAACTGTCAGACAGCGAAGGGATGCCAAGAGGATATCTTCCTAATCCAGACATGTTCTCGAACATATGCTTTTCGCTTTCCACTGAAATCGAATGGCGACCACGTTCTGCAAGCATTAAATCCGGGCACCGCGAGTTGGTGCGAGAAAAGTACCCGGATTAACAAAAGTTAGGAATGGAAGAGCGGACTGTCGGATGGAGGATCGCCTTTCCATCCAATCACTTTCCTCTTTTTTTCTGCATGCCTTCGCAGTCATTTTTCGAAAAAATATATCCCCTCTCGACGAAGAGAACATGTTGCCCTAAGACCAATTCAACGCCAGAGATATTATTGAATTCAAAGGAGTTTGTTTGCTGCCATTTACGCGTGCACGTCCTCGTCCGGCCAAGGGTTGTTTCGCGTCGAACTTGGCGAAGGAAATAGGTGTTCCAAGGACCCGCGATTAATCAGTTTAGTTTAGAAAGCTTAATTATCGGGAAATTAATTATCGGGTTTAGTTTAGAAAGCTTAATTATCCACGTAGCAACGTACATTTCCTGTGTTTTCATAAAAACCCTACGGATGAGAACGCCTCAGTTATTTAGATCGCGGGATATCTCATGAGGGGAAGGGGACGCCGGATCGGAAGCGAAAGCTAGGAGGTGGGCGGAAAACATGTGTTGAGAAAAGGGTGTCTGAACAGGAGCTGTCTTGATTTGGTGATTCTAGTAAGGTCATTGAGTTTGCCATTGGCCAAAATCAAAGTGATTGTTCTGGCCACGCTAGTCTTTGACAACACAATTCAGTAAACCAATCATAGCTTCGAATATGAAGCTTCCGCAAAGCACGAATAACAGCATCAGTTTACTCCACAGTATTTAGACTATTTATGGCTTTTCTTGCCTGGCGACTACCCGCTGACCACAGACACGGAAGAAAAGAAATTCGACTTTTTTGCAATTATTTTCAGTGAGCAAGGCACGGGTTTAAATTCTCATTGGTTGAGAGAGTGGGGCGAAAATTTTGAACCAATCACAAATCAGAAAAGTGCAAAACCAGATAATTTCAACAAAAACTGCTCCAAAATCGTATATTTATTAAATTCTTTATTACAATCCAAGTCTTTGTTACAAAAGAAGGTGGAAACAAGCACAGGTTTTTCAGAGACTTGTTGACATACAAATAACAAAACCGCAAAATGTTCTTGGCTTCTCTTCCAAATTTGGGCGATTGATTATATTTATCTTGCAAGGTGATGCTATACATGCAACACTACAAGGTTTATAACACAATAAAACGTACCCCACAAAAGGGATATACATTCAATACAAACGTCTGCTTTGTTTTAGTAAATTTTTTTCACCTATACTGTTTATTTGGTACGAAATTTTATTTATATCTGTTTCACGAGTATATATCAAGGTTATCAATATGACGAAAAGAGAGCTCTGAAAGAGCTACTGTACTACTCAATATAACTGCGTGCAAGTTCTTGGGCAGATGAGAGGCTAATCTCGTACCCAGATCTTGCTCCATCTTACGCTAGGAGATCTGGGTACGAGATAAGAATGACGACAGCTTTAACGTTTTCCCGCCAAAATGACGCTGGATAACGTGTGCGCACTGCTTCGTATTGAGAAAGTCTCGATATCGTGGGCGTCCTCTTATCGACTCACATCTCGCCTTCCGAGAGCTCAGTAGCAGAATTGACCACTTTATGTTGACAAAGCCGTGACGCGCCTACCAGGCGCTTTGTACAAAACGGCGGAAAATAGATTGTTAAAAAGACCAAAAATTATAATTAAAAATAAGAACCCTTCCAGAGGCCCGCACGTTTTTTCGATCAGTTTATGCCTTTCTCGATACGTCGTTGGTTAGACTCTACAGTGATTAGCATCTAATTTCTCCTTACGGTATCATTGTTCAAAATGACCCTTAAAATGCTCTATGACAGATTTATGGTAAATATAGAAGAGAATATATGTGTTGATAGAACGGTCGCGAAGGGCTTTTGGGTTAGGCATCCTTATGTTCTCACACCACCATGTCTTGGTGTCTTAGACAAGAGATATCCAGGCCTGATGACACTCACACTGTGTTTAAAATATGTTGTTCCCGGATATTTATGACTGTCCTGGGATCGACCTTCTGTTCACAGCTTTCAGAGGCCGTTGATACGGTTGTGCGTTTCACTAGGTACAGTTTCAAATAGCATCAAAACTTTGGGATTGTGTTGAAGATCTTCAACGCAGGTCCAAGTTTAATCTTGAGAATATTAACAATATCGCTTTGGTTGAGCAAAAGGAATGCTTCTCCGTCAATTTGCTGAAAGATAATTAAAAAACCAGAAGTCAGAAGTTTGCGTCTTAAAAGTAACCCACGTTTACTGTTTGAAGAGGCCAATTTCGTTTCAGTTGCATGAGCTTAGTTCTTTTTATAATAGCATTTAATTAACAACGTAAATCAGTAATAATAGACCTTTCCCGCATTCCTGTAAACAAAGGCACCAACTCGACGCTCGGGCGGCAAACTACAGTGATTTGTATGAAATTGTCCATCCGAGCCTCGTCTTCATTTCTTTATGTTTGCTCAATGGAGCGTAATGCGGGAAAGTCTATAGGCGATCAAAACCTTTCAGAGCAACGAGCAGTAAAAAACATGTAGCCCAACCTTTTTAACTGCTTCAAATGCTCCTTAATATCGTTAACCATTTTACTTCTCGCAGGATAATTTGCAGTTTGAGCGCAGCGGCAACAAGTCGTGCGCAGCCAAACTACAGTCATCTGAACTACTACGATGGTTCATCAACCTTTGTCAGAGTTTTAGCGCTGGAGCAAACGAATAAGACGACCCAAGGGAGACAGAGAAGGGAAACAGAAATGGAGAAATTAAGAGAGGAGGACAGGAAAGCAGGGCTTAAAGAAGGGATGAAAATAACTCAGCTACTGATTATAAAGCGGAAAGCAAACAGGGCAGAACATTTCACCTGTTCAACAAAGATCTTGGCCTGGTCAGCACAGCCTAGTAAGCGCACGTGATTAGCGACGTCATCAACATTCCATCGCATGATTTTTTGGCGTTCATTGGATACCGCTGCGTGGTTATTATGATTTATGGAAGTCTTGAGCTCGCTAAGAAAGGCCGATGGAAATCCGCTGCCGAGTGGCCATGGGAACGAGAAAGGAGAAACGTGTTGAATGCCTTTGTCTTCGACTAGAAAGGAACAATATGAGAGGAAAAATGAGGCACTTTACTATTAAGAGTTAAGGTGGTTATTTATTATTCACTGTTTTGCCAAGGGTACCTACCATTTACATAAAAAAACTGGAAATTCCGGTTGAAAAATTAAATGCTTTGCGCCATTCCGGTTGGAATGCTTCAGAAAACATTGGCTGTGATTTGAGGCCATGCAATTCTTCTGCTACTTTTGGTAAGTTCAGTTGATTTAGATATACTTTATAGCGGGTGTTTCTTCCACCACGGCAATTCTATTGCTTTACTGTATTTGTGCAACATTTCCACCTGGGTGGTTTATGCAAATGGTAAGCATCCCAATTCTCAAAAGTTTATGACTGTTTGAGCTTCTATCGAGAAATGGAATTTTCTTTGTCCCAAGCTTGCAAACATCATGGTGGATAACATCTTTATCATTTTTTGTGCGCATGATCTGAATATTCATCTCATACGCCTCTTTAGACAAGGGAACTGGGACGAGTTAACTTTTGCAAAGATTTCTGGGACTGTTACAGGGGAAAAATTGGCCAATAGCTGACCGGCGCGTCCCTAGAAACGATCCCAGAAACAACGTATTTCGGCTCCAGTCCCCCTCTCTTTTCTAAAGTGGCGAATAGAGGAGGTGGAATTAGTCTCAGGTTTGACGTAGAGGCATCAATGTTCCTCCCTCCCCATAAAAAAAACAGAATGGTTTGGTGTAGAGGTATCAATGTTCCTACCTACCCTCCTCCTCAAAAAAAAGAAAAAGAAAAGAAAATTACCTCTAAGCCTGCTGCTATCCAGTTTCTCCTCCTTGACAGCGGATCTGCTGAAAAGGTACAGTTTCTTCATAAGCATCTATTATCACGTTTTCTACGCGGCTCCGTATAGGAGAAGGTTTGGCCAGGACGTGCCACACATGCCGCTAAAGCACGTCAGGAAAAAAATGCGTTCAACCATTAAACTAATGCAAAGACGCACACGAGCCAAGCAGGCCAACGCGGCCGGGGCTTAGTCAGGCCGAGGAAACAATGAGCCGATAAAGCTTAAAGTTCGAGGTGTCAACCACTCGACTGACATATCTTCACTACATTTAGATAATCAATTTTATATACTGGCAATTTTTATCCTTACCGGGAGGTACTGCGCGTGCCGATGATACCAGATTCTTTACCGCCAATAACGAAGCTCTTGTAGGTGGGGGAGTGGAGTGCGGCCTTCTTCGGGCCTGGCGGGGATTTCGCTGACAAATGTTTCACTCTGGGACAACCTGATAATCTGGAAAGGTAATGGCGAGACGTTACACATGCAAGACAGGTTCAAATATCATATCTGTTATTTTCAAGCCGTCTGTAATACCACACGGCGATTGCTTAACTTTTAGCCTGCATTTGACTAGTTTCCAATTACACTATGGCACTCTAGAGACCATACCGTCCCCAAAAATGTCCCAAATTGAAATTATCCTCTAAAGATGCTGAAATAAAGTGGAATCACTATTTCTCGAACCCTCGGTTTTTCGATAAAACTTCCCTTCATCAGGACACCACCTGAATTTTATCCGCCGATTTTTCAAACCTCCCGATGTTATTCAGACCAATGTCTGAGGGTAAACTTGAGCGAATATACTTACGTGTAATGGGTCTTCCATTGACCACTCACGTGACCTGAGCCGTCACATCCGGGTGTCGGACACGTTCCATCTGCCGGGTTAGGGTGGACTTCTTCTATGATCAATAACAATTTGTAAGTAACTTGACGCTTTGAAAAGCTAACAGAACTAATCACAACAACGTAACCCAAATCACTGCACTGGAAATATGTCTATATTTAGTCTACAGAAAGAAAGTTAATGTTCTTTTTGAAAAAAGAAAAAAATAATAATAAGTCACCACACTCGTTTCATTGAGAGGAAATTAAAATT